TGGTCAAGGAAGTCAAGTTTTCAATTTAAGCACAAGCCACTGTAATTACAAACAGGCAGTTTGTACCTGCAGACAGACAATGAACTGTCTGATTGCCCAAACAACACTTAACACTTCTGGTGTGCTTTCGAGTGAGATGCTTTTTGGTGTGCTGAATCTAGATACGCTTACCTTGGATTCAGTAGAACATAACAGATTTTCAGATACCTTGTGGTCTCACTTTGTGAAATTAAAACATTCAGATAGCTTTCTACTCTTCATCATCTGTATTATATCACTTATCAACCAACTGAAGGCTCTATATTTTAATCCTTGGAAAGACTGCTACACCTCATATTCCTTAGAATCTCCCTAGGCCACTCAAGTAAAATTTGGACAGTACATCTGAGCTTCTCATTCAGAGCTGGACCTGAGTCCATCATTCCCTGGGCTTGGCCTCTGCTTTTTGAGAGAAAATTACTGTAGTGCCATCTAGTGCTACTCTGCTGATCCTTGTGTTTGCTGTATAGTTTCCAAGGACATTGCTCTGGATTCAATGCTTCTATCTCTAAACACTCTGAAACCTTGAAAATGCAGTTACCTTTCTTGGCAATATTAGCCATTTTTTCTCAGGCAAGTCATCATATAGATTATATACATTTCTATAACAGACTTTGCAGCAATGCATTAAAATTGGTTTTGAGCAGTGTGACAGTATGGAGCTGGAGATTATCTTGCAAAGAGCATGTGTTCCCATATCTTCAAAATGTGCAACTTTTAAAAATAGGAATGCAGAAATTGCTCTGGAAAGTATGCCTATAGAAGGGAAGGAATCCTTGTTTCAGGGATGATTTGAAGCATCAAGCCCAGCCCAGCTGGTGAAGAAACTATTCTTTTCCCTGTATATGTGGGGTGCTATATCTGTTGAAAAACTCACAGGGATTGTCACAGAAGAAGAAGACTTCCAAGACATTCTGTGCAATTCTGTTCACTAAAATGTACTTGGTTCATGAAGCAATTCTCCCTATTAACCCATCCAGGTCTCCTACATTACAAGACTAGGAGGACTAGAGGATTTTGGTATGGATATGGGACAGTTGCCCTAGCTGTAGTTGAAAACCAATTACCCAAAAGGCAGCATCTGGCTGTCCACAGCCTGAAGCAGTGTGCCTTAAGACACCTAGTGCCATATTTTTGAACTGTTTTTCAAGTATTCCTACAAAGACAGCCCCAGTGAGAAACCAATTGGAAGCAAGCACCTGGGGGCTTGTGAAGATCCTGCTGGGTTCCTGTTGACATCTGCAGAAGTTTTTGAATCTGACCTCAGGACACCTTGAGGTCAAGTAAACCTGCTTTGCTAAAAGTGACTGATTTTATGAGCTGTGGTACAGTGTGACCTGTGGCCTGTGTGATTAAAAAAAGTAGCTGCTGTTGCCAGATGTTCCACATGTCTCCCCTGACCTCTTATTTAAAGTGCTGGCAGCAGCTACCCACCAGCAGTCCAGCTCCCAGGGGGCCAAATGACTATTTCTGTTTTCTTGAAGAGCTCTAATCTTGACACATTTATCTGAAGTAGTTTGAGACCATGCCCATGATAACAGTTGGGGGGTAAATAATTTCAGGTATGTAACAGGTTCCACTTAGATCAGTAAACTCTATTCTATGATTTCTTTCATCTCACAATCATTATAAAGTTCAAGAACTATATTGGGCTTGCTCTTGAAAAGTCCTACCGACACTCCCAGCATTTGCCTTTTCATCACACCTTCAATATGGATCTAAAATTAGACTCTGTTCCTGAAATGAATATATTGCTCTTCAATATACAAGCTGCAAATTGAACAACAAATTCTTGTCTCAGCATGGAATTAACTTGAGGTAAGATACAAAGTTTTATGTTGTGCCACATCTAAGATAATAAAGTAAATAACAGAAATTATTTTCCATGTCAGCTTGAAACTTACAGCAATTTACTGGCTCACAGAGCAAACTGAGAGAGGAACCACAGGTAAGATACTAAAATAGGCAAGAGAGGGAAGCTTATAAAACTTTAAATGAATATTTACAAGAATTTAACCCAACCTACAAATCTAGAAGCATTATCACTTTTTTTTAAACTTAGGAATAGGCACAAACTTCCACATACTTGATATAAATGTCTAGACCTTATTTTGTTTGAGTGAATTCATGTCTATTTAATAAGCAGAATGGTGCCAACAATTTTATAGAGAGCTCCACATGGTTCTTTTTCCTCTGGAATGTCTCCAAGCAAGTCACACTCTTAAAAAAAATATTTGGCCCTCATCCTGTAAAGCCTTGTGTATGTGTCAAGTTTTACATGCTGTGAAGAGCCTCATTGATTTAAAAAGAGTTAGTCACTAAGTAAAATGTTAAGCCTCTGTACAAATTTCGCCAAGTTCAGAACTTTTGTTTGAAATATATTTATGTGTTCTCAAGCTTCCTTTTGGAAGAGCCTCTACTGTCCATTGCTCCATTTTTCTGTATCCAGCACTTTCTATAGCTGTTCTAGTATTACTCCAGCCCAAATTTGCTAGAACATTTCACAAGATCCTGCAAGCTGTGGAAGAGGAAACTGCAAGTAGGAAACTTATCCAGTCTGTATTTTTCACAGATCAAGAGTGCAATTCATGATCCTTTGAGCACTATTAATATATTTTTGTGAGTTAGTGACAGATAGAATTTGATCCAAAGAATTTTTTAAAATCCACTCAGCAGGATGCCCCCTGCTCCCCACCATGAATGCCAATAACTTTAATCCTAAAAAAAAGTTTCTAGTGCTGTTCCTGAAAAAAAATTCAAATGTGACTTAAGAATGACATGGTATCGTACCATCTTCCTGAATTCACAGAAGATTATTCCAGAGTCTCTGCTGCTGCCCAACACCTTCTCAAACTGCAAAGGGGTACAAAAACCTTATGTGAGAAGACACTTTTCAGATTTTGCCTTGTAAGTCCTACAGAATGACAGCAAACCTAACATCTTCCTGAAGTCTTTGAGGTGACAGTATAAGCTATTTCAGAGGTGCTCACTGTCTATCTTGGACCATGCTCAAGTTAGAAAACTGAAAGCAGTGATTTATAATTACCATCTGACTGCCATCCATTTGGAACATATCACAGGAACTGTGGGAAAGACTGATACAGTTTAATTTAGGGACATTCTTACTGACTTTTACTTTCCATTCTATGTTAGCTCTGATAAGAGTTTCAATTTTAAGACTGTGCTAAATATGTCTTAGCAGTAAAATATGCCAAGAGTGAGAATGAGCTATCTAAATTTTACTCTTTTGTAAAGGTCAGGATTACACTCCCATTCTATCTAGAAAACATTTCACACATTTTGTGAGCACAGTATATTAAACAAAATTGAGCTGATTGACAGTGGCACAGCTTGAGACAGTACACAAGTGTCTCATTAATTTAAAATGTCAGATAGATGTTCTGCTCTGGTATACTTCAAACAGGGTAAGAGATTTAGATATAACAGGTGTAGATCACTTTTCCACTTACTCCACAAGCAGTAGGTATAACTTAGGAAACAATATAGAAACAGAAAGCTTTAAATACAAGTACTTCCTTCCCCTAGGAGTTGTACAGGGGAGCCAACACATGTGACTTCTGAAGATTCAGTGAAATCTGGCTTCACCTTTTTCCTGCATATCATGGGATGTTTGTCATATGAAGTTCTCCTCTCTAATACTGTTCTGACTGCTAAACCTTTAACCTTGATTTCTGTCTGAAGGACTTTTTCTTGTCTGCTTTCTTTTGCATGGTTTGTTTTGTTGGTGGGTTGGTTGGTGATTCTTTTGTTTTGTTTTGGCTTTGGTTTTGATTTTGTTTTTAGGGTTTGTTTTTTTTTTATTACCCTTTGCTGCTTTTACCTGTGGGACTGAACTGGTCTAATTTGTCCTTTCTTTCATGGATGATCCTGAACATGGTACCAAGCAAAAACACAGTAGGGAACCAACCACTGGGAACCAACCACTGCTCCAATACAAGTCCTTTCCAGAGACCTGTGTGAATAAATGATCTCTCGACTTAACCTGATGCAGGAAGATAACAAACCATCTACTGCTATATTAAGCATGTATTTCATAAATAAGAGTCACATAAAGGGTGTGTGCACATGAGCATGAAGAGAGAGGTCAAAACCCTGTTCTAGAAGATATTGTTGTTGGGTGTTAGAAGTTGATGCAGCAAGACTTGGAGTTTACAAAGGTGAAGAAAGGAAGGAGCAACAGTGTAGGAAGAGAGCTGGGCAGGGGAGGGTGTGAATAAAAACCAGGATGCACAGGAAGAGTGAAAAGTGGGTGAATGAACTAGAAGAGAAGCAGCAGACAGCAATGGGCTGGCAAATGGAGGCTGATGCAGAAATAGCAGAAGCCAAATGTTGGAGTTCAGGATTGTGGGTTGTGTCCAGAAAAACAAGGCCCCTTCCAGCTGTTGCAGTGCATCTCTAGGCAATGGGAGAAAAAAAAGCATTTCAGCCCTATGGCTTTTACTCCCTGATCTCAGCCTTAGATGGATGCTTTGAGGAAGAACTAGGTTTTAAAATGCTGAGTGAGACAGAAAGAAACAAGAAGGGAAGGTGAGATAAGGGTCAGGCCTCAATGTGACTTGTGATTTTATTTCAGGCTGCTTGCCAACACGTTTTATTTATTTTTCGGGTTACTATTGGATAATATAAAAATGTGTGTCAAGTTATGCCCTGTCAAAGGTGATCAGAAGGCTTTCAGTCCTTAGCAGGGAAAAGGTTCTGCCACACCCCAGATTAAACATTTCATAGGGCCAAGGGCTGTCTGTGAGTGCAGTGCAGAATTCAGCTGGAGCTGTGTGGGCTGGAGGTGGTCCCTGGTAAAGATACCAGATAAACGTGAGAGCAAACTGGAAACTGAGCTGTGAAGAAGCCTGTAAATGTCAATGTCATCTGTAGCATAACATCACACTGAAATAAAATACATTTACAATTTACTCTTCCAGCATTAAGAAAGATTCAGATACCTTGATGCCCTTGAGTATGGCAGGTCAGTTCCTGGGATCCTCTTCCCAGCTGTGCTGCTCTTCCAGTGGGAAGGAGGCTGTGTGAATGGCACTGAGACCCTGACTTGTAGTTGTGAAGGCAGCGGGGAGTCCATTTCAAACTGTCTCACCCCAGATATCTTCTTTATTCCTTATTTCAGTACCTTTAAGAGTGAAGAGGAAATTGGTGAATGCACACTGGATCCTGTCACTGAGCTTCAGGTCTCAGGTGTGAAGGTGCAGCAGCATCCATCTCCCTAAGGCTTGGGATCCTCCATCAGCCTCCACTGCTAGAGCAGGAGACTTCCAGAGCCAGCACTGCAAAGCCAGCCTCTGGAGCAAAGGAGGGATGGAGAGAGTTATTTCACCCCTTCTCTGTTCCCTGTTGTAAAGTAACAGTGCATGGGCAAGTCGTTTTCATAAGTCACTACAGATTAGCTGGTATTTAATAGGAGTTGCTGGTTTTACTTTCAAAAGAACTGACATGTTGCAGGATTGTCAGCTCTGGAGCCAATCTCTCACAAAGATATCCCATTTCACATTGCTGACTAACACACCCGTCTCTCAGTGGCACTGTTTCTTATCCCTTCTGTTTAACAGTCAGATTGATTTTCATTCTTTATTGCCATTTCTTTAGTTTTGCACAGTTCACTGCTGTAAATCCAAATAATCTCCATCTGGAATATCACTTTGGCTCTCTTTTTTCATATTACTGGGAACTCAGTTTTGTCAGTGTTTCAGTTTAACTCTGCCTTCTTTTTTTTTTTTCCTCCAATTTTGGTAGTGAGTTGCTGGAAGGCTATTAGATGAGTTTCTTGGTGGATTGCATTAGCTTCTCATTCTGATTTAAAGCTACCAAATACTAAAAGTTAACAGATTATGTCACAGCAGAGATAATTTTTTTTTTCAAAAAACAGGAATAATGCTTGTAATGGATTCCTTTTTTGTCCTCCCAATACTTGCTGTATATTTGTGATGGACAGTATCAAGATAGCAAGTTTATATATGAACTTTCACAACTGTGCATTTGTTTTCTGAAGTCTCTGTAACTCCTTCATGATAGTGGAATGCCTGTCACCCTGCTCTGTGACTGTGATCACAAGGGTTTTCAGGATGAAGAAGAGACGAGAATGTTGACTCCATGATCAGAAGGCTTGATTTATTATTTTATGATATATGTTACATTAGACTATACTAAAAAGCAATAGAAAGGAAAAGGTCTCTTGAGAAGCTAGCTAAGCTAAGAATAGAAAAGAATGAATAACAAAGATCTGTGTCTCAGACAGAGAGCAAGAGCCAGCTCTGCCATGAGTGGTCAAGAAATCCAAACACCCACAGGAGACCAGTCATGGGTCTACCTGTTGCATTCCACAGCAGCAGATAACCATTGTTTACTTTGGTTACTGAAACTGCAGCTTCTCACAAGGAAAAATCCTAAGAAAGGATTTTTCATGAAAGATGTCTGCGACACTGCTCCAGTATTTATACAGCTTCATGTCTCAATAAGTTTAAATTTCATTTTTATTTAATAGTGAAAATGTGGGTTTCTATATAACTTCACTTGTCTTTCCATAAGATCATTTTCTTTCTATTATTCTTTTCCCTTACAAATGTAAGCAGTATCTTAGAACAGACTTACCTCTTTACCAAGTGTTCAATTAAAATCATCTAAAGGTTCCTCTTTATGATTTATGTACTTGCAGAGCAGAAAGCAATGAACTAATTCAGGACAAGGCTCTGTCCTCTTTTTCACAGTAGATCCAGAAATCCCTGCTGACTGGTCTGGAGTTGTAATGCCTTAGTTAACATAAGAACAAAATTTTTCCTTTAATGTGTAGCCAGCAGCACAGTTCTCATATTGTCAGGAGGGTGTTAATTCCTAGTAGTGTTTAAACTTTGCTTTCAGAATGGTTACAAAGTTATCAGATCTTTTTAAAGTGTGGTCTGAATTTACATTGATAAATTTAGATGTTTCACAGAATTACAGCAGAAATCCATTACACCATAAAATAAAGACAATTGATTTTTTTAAATTTTCCCTTCAAATTTGAATGAATTTAAATCTCTTTGACTGCCTTGGCCATCCTTTTCCACAGTATACATTTAGGGTGCTATTGAAGCAAGTTGACACCTACTGGTGCAGCAATCAAACTCTCTCTAATATGAGGGATTAGCTGTAGATGTCTCTTGAACATTTTCCCCTTCCTTGGGCCAAAAATTTGGCAGATTCATAATCTGTTCAAGGGCCTTTCTGTAACATGGCTGAAATGTGTTTTACAATTAACTGAGCCAAGAAAAGGGCACAGAAATTATTCTTCTTACTTTCTGTTCATTTAGCACTGCTGTGTGATTTGAGATTTTCTGACAGAAAAAAATACTTGGTTTGCTGATGTGACTTCTATGATCTGAAGTAAATATTGTCAAATTTGAACAGTTTGAAAAAGAGTTTTCAGTCTTTTTCAATTTTTAATAGTCTATTCTTATCCAACTCTGTAGATTTCATTCTAGGCTTCTGCATGTAAGTTTAAAAAATCCTGTCCCAATAAATGGAGCTTCTCTTCACTAAGAGGGACACTGAGAGAATACTTCCCACTCCACACAGGTAAACTCCCTTCTCTTCTGGGGCCAGAGCCCTTGGGTTTACCTTGAGGGTTTCAGGGAAACTGGAGAAGGCTGGCCTGTGGATCCCTTGGCATTTGCCATTTCAAAAGCCAGGCTGGGTATCTTTCTACTGGAAGTGGTGGGCTCGATTAGTGAAATCCAGCTGCCCCTACCATGGCAGAATAAGACAAGATGACCTGCAATGACTCTTTCTGGCTGCAGGGCTTATGAAGAAATGAAGTGATTAAGGGACATACAGAAAAAGCCCATGTTCTTGAGGAGTCCTCCTGCACAGGAGGAACAGTAAATATGTTCATGTGCACAAAAAGCAGAGTTAGAGAGGCTTAAAGGATCTTCAAATTATTTCCCAAGATCTTCAAACTTTGCTTTCTATTTTTTAGGTAAAGGTTTTTCATAGAATTAGTCTATAATTTGAACCATGTGACAACTTTTATTATTTTTAAGTAGTAATTACCTTCTGCTCCTGACAGAGCAGTACTGGCACAGCACTGTAACAGCACTGACACTGCCTGCAGGATTTCCATGTGCCACTCACTCTGTCACAACACATTTTTCTACCTCTGGAATGCTTTTCAATTCTTATTGACTGCTCTCATCTACAGTGGAGAGACAGTGAAAAAAGTTGTGGGTTCTCCTATCCTATGTTTGCTTCCTAGAAAGACTTATTGCTTTTGTTGAGATAGTTATGAAAACTTATTAAATTTCGCTTAGAAAACATATGAGTTGCATTATTGTTTCAAGAGTTGCAATGATTTAAAGAAAGTATCTTATTATAGCTCCTAGGCTCTGAAGAAGCATAAGTTTTCCATAAAATAATGCTTTATTTTTCAAAAAGAGTTGGTTTTACTCCACAGGCCAAAAGCTAAGACATTTGAGAATGTGAAAATCTTTTTCTATTTTCATTGGAAAAGAGTTCCCCTTTCTGATGATATATGATCTTACAGCTTTGTAAGGTGATATTAGCCTCCATTACTGCTAACATTTATTTTGGAGAAAAAGTCAGCAGGGAGGACTATGGGGCTTAGCAAGAGAGTAGAGACCATTGTAACTACATTCATTGTCCTGGCATTTCTAATATTTCTTCAAATAAATTCATCTTAGTGTTACAGATCCATTACAGTTAAATGCCAGTCAGCTTTACAGTGTTGTAAAGTGGTTTTAGGATTTAGAATGACATCATATGAAATTGTTTCTCAGACCACTGTATTTTTTCAAAATAAAGTTCATTGTTAAGATAATTATTTACCTTGTCTCTCCTTACAGATTTGCCTTTTTTTAATAACAATGCTGCCTCCACACTTTTCAGGGCCATGCATGGGGCTGGGCATCTCAGCTGCAGCCCCAGACTTGTTTAAAGGTTAGTGTGAAAAAAAGGAAGTTCTGGAATGAAGTGCAAACAATTAAATGGAAGGAATTAACTGAAGTGCAGTGAAATGAACAGAAATGTAATGAAACTGTACTCATGGAAATCTTGAGATATAATTTGCTTTCATACAAATAAAGAATTTTCATAAAAGGAAATTAAATGTGAAATTAATAAATGAAATAAGAAGAGAGGAAAGGAAATAGAATGTAATTAAATGAAAATTAAAAAAATGAAAATTCTGAAATGAAAACAATTAAACACAATTGAATGGATGGAAGTTTAGTGAAATGACGCAAATCTTTATGAAATCATAATTATGAAAATCTCAAAATTTCATGGGTTTTTTCATAAAAATTCTTCATTTCATGAAAGGAAATGAGATGAGAAAAGAAGGAATTAATTGAAATGAAAAGACAGGAGAGGAAATGGAATGGAATGGAATGGAATGGAAATGGGGAAAAAAGGAAAATTCTTAGAAGTTTTTTTTAATGGAATGGAATGAAGTGCAGTGTAATAACCCTAACCTTAATGAAATTATACTCATTAAAATCTTGAGATTTCATTTCATGAAAGAAAATGAAATGAAGAATTTTAATTTCATGTAAGGAAATAAAAGGAGAAATCAAGGAATGAAGTGTAATGAAAAGGCAGGAAAGGAAATTGAATGAAAAAAATGAAACTGAAAAAGAAGAAAATTCTTAGGAAAAATTATAGGAATGGAATGGAATGGAACGGAATGGAATGGAATGGAATGGAATGAACCTAAAGTTAGTAAAAGTATACTCATGGAAATCTCAATATTTCATTTCCTTTCATGCAATGAAAATTCTTTATGAAATGAGAAATCAAGGAATGAAATGAAATGAAATGAAATGAAATGAAATGAAATGAAATGAAATGAAATGAAATGAAAGTGAAAAAAAGAAAATTCTGGAATGACTTACAGGTGTTCTAAGCCCTTTTTCAGCAGCAGCTGGAGTCTGCTTAGTGTGTAAGAAGACAACAGATGCTTCTGATTAGGCAACTGAACCTCAGTGTTTCCACAGTATATGCTTCAGGAAGGAGTTTCTCTTTCCTTGAAATATTTGATGGAATTTGCCAGAATCTGAACTATTATAGCTGGAAAGTTTTTCCTGAACTTTGAATACATCCCTCTCAGTCCTAATTTTTTG